TGGCCTTTCTAAATTTCAGAGTATTTGGCTTTGAAACTTCAGTAGTATTTGAAATGTCCTGTGTAAACTGTGTAATACGCAGGAGGTACTCTGTGTTTTGTTGGCTTTTGTAACACTGACTGAAAAAAAAAAAAACTATGCTCCTGATGTGGTAAAAGGTCAGAAAGCAGAATGAAGAACATAGCTTCTGTCCTGTGTAAAAGTCTAAGTATTATATATTTCTGGAGGCTGCACTATTTCTAGGCTGGATTCAAATATGCAAGAACAAGACAATTTGAAGTGTATTCAAATAAATAAAGAACCTAAAACATGCTGGTTATTATGGGTAGCTATCTGCTGTACTCAGAGAATGATCGTCTCTGTGAGAGGCTTCCCTGTGGCCAAGGATCTGTGCTGGGCATTAATAGATAATTTTGCATCCTGTCTATGCCATTGATTCCTGTGGTTGTAGAATATGTTTTGAAACTGGGTAAGACAAGATTTATCTACAAGTAACTTTATTTCTGAGAGTGACAGGGAAACAGCAGATCTACAGATTTTTGAATGGAGCTGCCAGGCTGTTTAAACAAATAAACAAACCAAAACTGAACAGATCCAGAGAAACAATTATAATTTTGATGTTTCTTTGTAATATAAAATCTTCAGCTTTTATGATCCGTTCTTAGCTAAAGAGCAATTATGCTGCTACAGGAAGAATATTGTTCAGGAAATTAAATTTCTCTAGATGCTTAGTGCCGGTTTTCAGTTGTTAGCTCTCTCAAGCAGCTATGCATTTCCCGTTTACATGTTTGTAATGACAGCTGAACAGCTGGAGAAAGCTATCCTTTTATCTGGCTTCTTGTCTGCATGAAAGTACATGAACTTAGGGGACCTATTATGTCTGTGGAAATACAGCTTACCTTCATTGCCTTTAAATGCATGGAAATGTGCAGTGGAGAAAAGGAAACCAAAGTGTGGGTGGGAGATGGGAGAATTCACTGTCTTCAGTAGGTAGGTGAAGGTAGAAGAGCATTTGGGTGATAGAAACTTATTCTGAGGCAGAAGAATTTCACCACTGAAAACATCTTAAATTACAAATGTATGTTTTTGGAGGAATATGATGGAAAATCCCAGAGACAGCATTATAAAGCACCTTGTTCTGTGTATTAAATATCTGGAATGTGCAAAACAAAAAAACAGTGATAGTGGATGTATTTTTCAAAATAAAATATGCATATTAAAATATAGAAATATACAAAGTAAAATCAATGTTTTTAAAGGAATTATTAGAAAATTGTTATTATCATCAATCTAAGTTTGACACTATGGCAATACAGACTGAGAGTCGTAATTTCACTCTCTATGTATTAATGTCTACCAGTTGCTTGCTCATTGTTTTCCCCCTGTCAAAGTAATACCTCAAAGACTAGATTTTGTCTTTTGTAGTCAGGGCAAGAAAAATTTTTCCAGATCTTAAATGACTGAAGTGTGAATCCTGAGCCATAGTTCTGCAATTATTCACTTACTATAGCAGCAAAGTATTTTAAAACAACAACTAGAATGCTAGGTTTTGGTTATTGTTTTAAGAAACAATGTTAGAGAGAGATCACGAAAGCAACGAGATTGGACCCTAGCAGAGTAACATGGAATAAAAATAAAACCTGAGGAAGAGCTACTCCTCAGATTTTTTTTATTTGCAACTCAGTAGGGTAGTGTATGTAGTGAAAATAAGTGGGAACTGTGGTTTACATAGTGCTGAAAGAGACCTTGCCAAGCTGTAACTCTTCTCAGGAAGCTTCTCATGGGTTTAAGCTGTTTTGAACAGCATCGGTGTTCCCTGACTCACCTGCCAGTTAAGAATAATGAACTACAGCACAATAATTCTTAGCACTTTTATTGCACATTTCTTTATTTTAAAAGCATTATAAACATGAGAAAATCCTCATGTTACCTTTGGGAGATCAGTTAGTAAGAAAGTAATGTTATTTTCATTTTATGCATAGTAAAACTTGCATGAAAAGGGGGTAGTTGGAGAAAAAGAAATGCCTCGATTTTATCTCAGAAATAAACTTTGTCAAGAAAAATTGTACTGATCAGGTCTGAGAAGGTGTTTAAATGTTATTAGTAGGAGTTAAATAGGTAACTGTGTAACTGTTGTTATGCATCTGGACTCATACTGGACCTTTGTTTCTATCCTGCTGACTCAGTCTCATCGAACCCTGTCTGACTACAGTTATCTGTTACAAAATAAAAGCATATTTCATTAGTGTAATCCAAAATGGAGTCAGTATTTAAGCTCAGATCTATCAGGGGGAAAGATCAGGGGGAATTTGTGAGGTTAAGTGGATGTTAGAAGCCTTAATGTTTTGTGGCATCCAAGCCTTGGCTTTTAAGAGCCTTCTGTTCTGGTGACCAGCATCAACAATTTCTGTGCTGCTATATGTATTTTGGAATAATTTTGGAGAACAAGTTAAAAATAATTCTGCTCCTCAAGACTTGCATTGACTAGGTGCTGAAGAGAGGTAAGGAAGCTGTGAAGGTGACAAGTCCCATACCAGGACACCTGCATAATAGTAATTCTTAATACCTGTGGAAGACTTCAGATCTCATGCTTATCTCCAGCTCCTCATCTCCCAAAGAAAAGGATTATTTTAACTTATGCCTACCATTAAGTGGATGATTTAGATCTAATGAACAGGTAGGCTATGTAGAACAGCAAGTACTGTGTCCAGTCTGGCATTAGCCATTCTGAAATCCTTTTTAAAAATCAGAATTTTGATCAAATTCTACCATTTTATTCAGCAGTGGTAAAATTTATAAATTTTCAGTAATAAAAATGATCTCTTTGCCCTTTGAAATCATTATTTATATAGCATAAACTGGAAATAGACATTACTGTAGATTGTGTATGAATAGTGCATGTGTGCATATATTTTCCAGTTTAAGAAAAAAATGTACAACTACTATGTAAAACAGGCATTTTGGAATAGTTACTTTTAATCAATAGATACATCTGAAAAAAATCTAAAACATGGTATAACCCTCTTTGACTGCAGGTTTATAAGTTTGAGATAAACTTTTCAAAGTCAGGTAACAGCAGATTACAGTCTGAGCTTGAGGTTATTTTTTTGCCCTTGTTGAACTTTATATGATTCCTGTCATGCCACTCCTCCAGCTTGCCAAGGCCTTGTGAATGGCAGCTCTCCAGTGTATCAGGTGCTCCCACCATTCTGGTGTCATCTGCAAACTTGCTGAGGGTCCATTACATCTTAGTGTCCAGATAGTTGTTGAAGGTGTTAGTTAGTCTTCACTCTGGAATTAACTCCTGGGGAACTCTGTTCTTACCTAGCTCCTGCTTAGATTTGGAGCCTGGTGGTCCAGTTTACTGCCTGCCCTGTAGTCCACTCATCCAGTGCATATCTTTCCTGATTGGCTATAAGGTTTTAGTGACGCTGTCAAAAACCTTGCAGCTGCTGCTGCTCTTATCTTTCACAGAGCCAGGAACTTCTTCATGAAAGGCAATTGGGTTCATCACATATGACTTGCCCTTGGTAAATTTATGCTGAGTGCTCCCATTCTCTTCTTATCCTTCATATGCTTAGACATTAATTCCAAGAGAACTATCTCAATAACCTTCCCAGGATCTAAGATGAGGCTAGAGCAACCTGTAGTTCCCCAGGGCCCCTTTCTCTCCCTTTTAAAGATGTTCTTACCATCAGACTTTTCTGGGCCGCTGAGGACCTCTGCTGATTACCACAACCTTTCAAAGATGATAAATAGAACATGGCCTCACAATGACATTGACCAGCTTTGTCAGCACCATTGGATGCATCCCACATGGTCCCAGGAACCTGAATGTGACTGACTCACTTAAGTAGAACCTAACTTGATCTTTCCCTACAGTGGGTAGTACCTTGTACTCCCACAAACTTTCCTTCTGGACAAGGTTACCTGGGAGGCCTGAGAGCAGACTTTGCCAGTAAAATAAGGCAAAGAAGGGTTTGAGTACTTCATCCTTTTCCATGTACCTGGTTCCCTACTCCATTCAGCAGCAGGCCCACATTTTCCCTTTTATTCTTTTTGCCTTTGATGTACATTTTTGTTGACCTTTATTTCCATTGCCAGGCTCATCTCCAGGTGAGCTTTAACTTTATTGATGCTATTCCTGAAAAGTCAGGTGATACTTCCATATTCCTCCTTGGGAATGTGTTCCTTCTTATACGTCCTGTACTTCTTTTTGCATTGATTCTCTACCAGAAGTTCCCTGTTCAGCCAATTTGGTGTCCTACTATTGTTTCCAAGCCCTTAATCACAGTTTATCCAGCGTACTACAGGAAAGTGAGTCACTGGCTTATTATGTAGGGTTTTTATGATAAAGTATTACTTTAATTTTCAATTATTATTACATTCCTGTATGCATTCTGTGAAAATGAGGGATTTCTTAATGTGACTATACTCTGTTCTCTGGTTTTATATTCATATGCTTGGTGATGTTGTGTTAAACAGAGTAGGAGCGACTGTTTTATTGTTTCATAGCTGATTTGATTAATAAAAGTGTAAAGAGACTGGTCATTTGCTAAGTGATCTCTTTATATTATTTCTCCTGATGAGTGTTCCTGGTCTGTTGCTCACCTATCTCCTTAGATGACTATTGCTGCCAAGGTCTACAGCTACAGTGACTCACCTTGCAAGGGAAAACTGAAAAAAGTAAAAGGGTACTTCTAATTCTAATTGGTTAAAGTTGGAGTGAGGTAGGGGAAGACTGGGAATTCATTAAGAACAGCTTTACCTTCTGTATCATAAGTAGAGGAGGTATTATGTTAAAAGTTTTTAAAAGATTTATACTTTTCAGGTATTGTCTTTTTTTTGAGCAGTTAACCAGTAAAATAGTTATTTTGTTAAAATATTTCTTCAGGCAATCAGCCAAACCCAAGCCCACACACTATTGAAAATTGTGTGAAATTTAAAATAGTGATTCATTTTTGAAAATGAAGTGTGAAAAGAAATGCATAACAAAATAATCTCTTAATACACTTTTTCACTATGTCATATTAATGTCAATTTAGAGATGACAAAAGGAATCAGAAGGCTTATCCAGATAGAGGAGCACATAGCGTCTTCCTTACAAGAATCTTTTCCTGTTGAAAATTGTCACTTTACATTAGCTTCACCATAGGGCTCTTTCTGATTTGCATTTCAATCATCCCTACAGCAGCAGCTTATAAATACAGACAAGAAATCTACTGGACTGTCACAGGCACATAAAGCTGAGGGGAAGATAGGAATCACTTCAAGAGGGTAATCCAGCCAGCAGTTGTGGGTGAATCCAGCCTTTAGGACAATTCCATCTAAACTGTCTTTTCCTGGAAGGACGTGGTGAATTGCTGAAGGAGAGCACAGAGCAGCTCAAAGGCACCTCATGTGGTTGTGTGCAGAATGGTGCCTAGCATCCAAGAAGCCAATGCACACCTGGGAGAGAGAATCAAAGAAGCAGCATATTAATTCTGAGTATTTACACAACCCAATCTTTCTACAGGTCTGTGTGCAGTCACTGTTGTATCACCTCCATTAAGGCTAGTTACAGGCTATATATTTTTTCATGCGTTCCTTTCTCTAAATCAGCAGAAGCAACAAGGTGGTGCACAGGCTGTGTAGCCAATCAAGCTGTTGTCAGCATTCCTTACCTCTCTTGCTTCAGTACAATCCTGTGTGGAGACATGCATCTGATCACATAATCTCACAATCAGTACACGCAATTCATAGTAAAATTGGATGCTACTTTATACCCTCATTCTATTTATAACTTAAAACATACCTTGCTAAGGAAGTCCTCTGAGATGAAAATTGATGGATTTTAGGTTACTTGAGATGGTCTGCCTTGTCTGCTAGGTCTGCTCTGTTCTTTCTTTTGTCAGGTACCTGCTTATAGACAGTACAGGTTACAGGATGTTGGCTAGAAAGACTCTCTGTTTGGCTATATATGCCCATTCTCACATAAAATGTATTGTAATAGTTTCTCCTTTCTAGACCATTGTCATCTGTTCATGTTATGCATTCCTTCAACTTGATTCTGCAGAGTTTTCATCCATGTTCAGACCATTAGTAACCATAACTTTACTAATAAAGTTATATTTGTACATATGCATATGCATAGTAAGGTTTTCATTTGTTTTATGACTGGGTGAATATAGATTTAGAATTACAAATTTACTTTATATTTTTTGAACATATTTCCAGTAACATTTCACATTACTAGCAAATGATGCAGTTAATGCAGATTCCAAATCTCACTTTGGAATGTGAACATTTAACACCTTTAAGGGTTGCTGTTTAAATAGTGCATAACATCACATCCAAATATATAGAGAGAATATTTCAGATAGTGATGATAAGGCATTTCACTTGCAGGATTCCACACTGTTGGAATAGAAAGTACAATTTATAATGCAACATTTTTATCAAAATGCTATTTTATTAAATGACATAATTTTTTGTTGAAAATTTAGAGGAAAAAATAGTATTTTGCAGTCTTACAGATAGAATTTATTTTTTCTCTTCACTCTGGAGCAATTTTTTTTTACTTGAAAAATATAGTCTCTTATTAAATATAAAGCTTCAATGCAGAAAGTAAGGTTTTAATTTATTTAGATGATGCTTTGATTCCCTTTAAAAAATTAAAGAGGAAAATTCATAGAAACGACAATGAATAATATTACAGATTGGTACACAATGGAATAAATATCATTTTCTGGAAACAGGAAGAAGTTAATTTATTCACAGTTGTAATCAAAATGATACTTTGAAATGATCAAGCATAGAAAATTATTTCCACGTACATATTTTACATTAGGTGTACTCTCTGAGAACAGCCTGTTAAGTACATTCACTTATCTACTGACTTTCTGTTCCTAGTCTAAGGCTTCAAACTTTCTTCAGATTCTTTTTAACATCCTAGGTACAGTGTCCCCTTTTACTTCAGATGAAGGCTAGACATTAGTTCTCTGAAAAGTAAATGGATCAGATCCTCTTGAGACTTAAATATACCATAATTTTTGCTTTCCTTAAAATGGTCTTCTTTAAAAGAGATAATGTCTATAAAATGGAGATGAAAAGAATGGATTTCAAAATTATCTTGCAAAAATATATGGGCAGATAATTTTTAGTTCTTGTTACAGCAAAGAAAATAGAAGAGTCAAGCCATGAATAGCTGTAACTCTGGTTTTACCTCTTTCCCAGAAGCGAACCAATTTTATGAGATGTTTCTTATAGGTCTGTTGCTTGAACTTCTAAGTACAGAGTAAAAATGTGGGCCTTATCAGAAGATCTACTCCATGTGATAGAGTAAGATCTGGTTGACTGCTATTACTTTCAACAAAATAATTTTCTGTGCAATCTCAAGTAATGGCTATGTAATGGTCTCATTCTGTTCTCTCTTGCCACATCCCTTCTCAACTATAATTTTCTTTAATTCAAAAGTAGCTCTGGTCTTTTTTCTGGTATAGGTGACACAGGGTGATTAAATGCAACAGTTTGACAATGAGAAATCTGTGAATAGGTGGCTGCAGAATCTCACAGACTCTACAATAAAAGGTTTCATTATGACAGTCTGTGGCCTTGTCAGGTCTAAGATGTTAGACATGTCTGCATGTCCCTAACAGAAAATAAATGTATGGTGATAATTTTTGATAGCTATATATGATCTGAAATTCATTGAACATGCAGAAATTGAGATTTTTCAATGGATACAAATCAGTGGTGTGGATTTTCAGCTGCTTTTCTCTAGTTTTAAACTTTAGCAATTCAATTTTTATGACAACCTCAAAAAGTTTGAGGGAGTTGTATCTCTGACTGCAACCTCACTGAAACATTTCCTTCTTTTCCTCCTGTTACTCTGTTTTCGGTCATATCTCCTTTCTCCTCCAGATGTTTACATCTTTCTGATTCTTACAGGTGTTTATTATGATCTCTTTCACTGTCCAAAACATCTACAAATCATACATACTCTTCTTTTCTTGGTCTGCCACAATGTAAGACAGTTTTGTTTCATACTCTGTATAATTTTGGTAACTAATCCTCATCTTTGGCAGAACACCTGAGTTCAGTGTGTTTTGAAATTTTCACCACTGGACATGTGCATGATTGATGGAGAACACTGAGTTGACTGTTTTGAGTAACTTATACAATGCATCAAGTAACTTATACAATATTCAGCACCATGGTTTCCAAGCCATTTTATGACAAATAGATGATAGAAACTTTTGTGCAATTATGGAAAAAGAATTCTTGGGTAACGTCTATATAGGTGTGAATAGCACAACTTTTTTTTTTTTTTTTTGTATATACAGACAGAACTACAGCAAGGTATTCTATAATCAGTAGTAAAACTTGAAGTCATCCTAGTAATTTTTCTAAGTCATAGGTTTCATCTGATTTTATAATTGCAAAAGTAAAATGTATGAAATAATCCTTAGTCCTAAATGTTTCTTTTGGGATGTTTCTTTTATTATGTATGAATGAATCAGTAGCAATTGTTCCTCTTCATCAAGTGTGAGTATGTAATGTGCTTTTTGATTCACAGATTAACTGCTATAAATCTGGACAATAACTATGCTTTTGTCATTTCTATGTTTGATGCTAAAATGTCTTGATGTAGAATATACTTGCAAAGTCTGATTGTTCTTCATGTAGAGATGATGGCAAAATCCTGTTTAATTAAATGGTGTCAGGATGTGGCCTACACAGAGGTACTAAAAGCTGTGTGGGAGATTAATGTAAAGTCATCAGTAGTCTGGGGTTTCCTCTGGAGATTGTTCCGTAAATTTAGCCTTAATTGAAAACAGAGGAAAAAAAGATCTTAAGATTTTCTCTGTTAAATATAAATTACATGCTAGCTTAAAGTAAATAACATATATTTTAAAAACTTATGGAATTATGATATTTTTATTATAGTGGAAAAGGAAATCACCAAAAATGAATGAGGTATAGAAAAAGCCTTTAAAATCTCAGTATTAAGATAGTAACATAAGGTAAGCAGTGCTGATTTCTCTTGTGGTTTAAAAATCTTTAAGCTCTTCATTAACATGCTTGTATTTCAGATGATTGTCTTTGATTTCATGGATAAAGCAGAGGCTAGGTGTACTCTGTCGTAGTTTTTAGAGAAGAGTTACACAAAATAAAGTTGCTAACCTGAAAAGCAGCTGCATCACTGCAGATGAATATACTCTACAGTTAGATTTCTTTCTACACTGGTTAGTACTGAATTTGTATTAGAAGCTTTTTTGAGGTTCTGATGAGCTCACCTCTCAGAATTTTTCTTCTTGTCAAATGCCTTACTGAGCAATGGAATCATGGCTGTTGCACTTTTTGGGATCTCTGTTACAGCCATGAATAGAACCCAAGCATCCTGAATCCCACTTCAAACATAAGTGGCATTTCAATTACAGGCTGATTTGAACATCCATTATTCCTTTGATGCTCTTGGAAATACGTACTTGATGCTACACAACACTTGCTGAGAGATGTGAAATCTGCAGTTTCCGAGAAAGGTGAGGAATTGCTAGGAGTTCCTAGATGTAAGAGTTTTCCCTAGATTTGAGGACAGTCATTTCAATATTGGGTTATTTTACCTATCTTTGATACACATTGAATTTGGAAAAAAAAAAAACCAAACAACTCTTAAAAATAGTAGTGAGAGCATTCTACCAAGGACCAAGTAAAAATGAACAACGGATCTTCTCAACCTGTGATAAAAAAATCCAGAAAAGTAAACACTAACCTTTTCACGATATTTTAAGAGGGTTGAGTGGGAGTAGCCCAAGATAATCAGGATAATAAAGTCAGAGAACATATATTTCAAAGATAACTGAAATACAATTATAGATGTTGCAATTTTCTTAGAACACTTGAGTTTTCTGCTTATTTTCTTGAATATGTTCCACTGGCAGCTAAGTAGCTAAGAATGATTGAAGTCAGAGAGATCCAAGCCTAAAGCTTTTTAATTTAAATTTAGACCTTTGAAAAGCTGCAGTGCAATTGACAACACATCTTTTTCAGTCTCAAAGTGTCAGCATTGTCACTAAAAAAAAATTTTCAAAGCCTTTCGAGAATGCTTTCTAATGAGCCCTGATGATAGTCTGCGATAACCAAAGTTATGCTCACAGTAGTCCTGTAATACAGCAGTAGCGATTGCTACTCTCTTTTGCACCGATATATGACATGCTATTAGCATTGAAATGAGAGGAATTGTTTTGGGTGCTGTCTTTTGGCTTTGAATCCTATTTAGAAATCCAATAATAAAATTTTTTTTGCTGATCATCAGTGTGATTCCAGGAGGTAGGACTGGCAGCTTTAACACAGGGAATTCAGTGTTACCTGGTTTGTTTAATTATAAATAATATTTTAAAATACAGATAGCTTAGAAAGGTTATTAGAAAAATCATTTGCACTCCATAATAAATTTTTAAGATATTTAGAGAAATCTCCCCATTCTGCAAAACACAGAAAATTAAATTTACAAGCCAAGATTAACTGTGATAAGGGTTTTGCCAAGAATCACATTGAGGACAAGCAAAGAAATCTCATGGAAAGGCCATGCTACCAGTTTTCCATGTTGTGTCAATTATAATAAAATGTGTGTAGAGTATTACTAAAATAACGGAGTACCAGGGAACTGTGATGAGAATAAGGAAATGATGCTGTGGGAATTGTTTAAATTATCATCATTTCTCTCTTGTACAGCATTTTCCATAGGAAAGAACAGGAACTGTATGATGCTTAATAGCTACATGGTTACTTAAACATAAACATATCTACTACATTATGTGTGTAACTAAGAATTAAAAGGGCATGTCACAACCTACTGAAGAATGCAAGAAGCTATGGAAAGGTAGAGTGGATAAAAGAAAACAAGGCAGGAATAT